TTTAAGACGGGGTTTCACCATGTTGGTCAGGCTGGTCTCGAATTCCTGACGTCAGGTGATCCACCCACCGCGGCCTCCCAAAGTGCTGAGATTACAGGCGTGAGCCACCGCGCCCGGCTCTTTTTTCTTTCTCTCTCTCTCTCTTTCTTTCACAAAGTCTCACCCAGGCTGGAGTGCAATGGCGCAATCTCAGCTCACTGCAACCTCCCCCTCCCAGGTTCAAGCAATTCTCCTGCCTCAGCCTCCCGAGTAGCTGGGACTACAAGTGCGTGCCACCACACCTGGCTAATTTTTGTATTTTTAGTAAAAACGGGGTTTCACCATGTTGGCCAGGCTGGTCTCAAATCCCTGGCCTCAAGTGATCCGCCCACCTTGGCCTCCCAAAGTGCTGGGATTATAGACGTGAGCCGCCATGCCTGGCCGACACTTGAGTCTTTTGACAACTTCAGAGAGGCTTTTGCTTTTCATCTCCAAGACCTCTGTTCCTGTCTCCTTTCCCTGTTCCTTTATTTCTGTTTCCTTCTAAGAAGAATCGCATATCTGAGCTGGCAGTTACATTCAAATTACCTTTAGGTGAATTCTGGGTCGGGTTGTCTCTGGAGATTGACTCCCGGGCCAAGATGTAAGTCTTCCCCCGACCAGGCCTTTGCTCACACTGTTCCATCCGCCTGGAATGCCCTCTCTGCAGGCATCTCTTCTGCCTGTCCTTCCAGGCTCAGCACCACCACCCCGTCTCCTCCTCCAGGAAGCCTCTCTGGCTACCTTGGCCTTGAAAAAGATCTTGCCCTATCGCTTCTCGGCCTTTTGGCTAAGATCAAGTGAAAAAGATCTTGTCCTTCCCTGTCTCAATCCCTGTGTGTCTCTCTCTCTGTCTCTCTCTCTCTCTTTTTTTTTATTTTTAGAGACCACATCTCACTATGTTGCCAGGCTGGCCTCAAACTCCTGAGCTCAAGTGATCCTCTTGCCTCGGCCTCCTAAAATGCTGAAATGACAGACGTGAGCCCAGACACTCTATGACTCTTCTGTTACCTGTTTATTACATGATCAGGTCTGGGTGCTCCTCTCAGGCTGGCCCATCCACCCTGAAGCCCCAGTCTGACCCAGCACAAGAGGGACTGTTCATCCCAGCAGGGGAAACTGAGGCACAGACTCAGTTTCCCTAGCTGCTTCTAACTTCATGAGGCATCTGCACAAGGGAAGGATTTGGCTCTGTTCTCAGGCTGGAAGCCACGAAATGCTTGAACATTGTGGAGAGCAAAGAAAATACCGTCTGTTCTATGCAAAAAGTGACTTTTCCTTATTACCAACAAAATAATGGAAAAAATAAAAGAGTATCTGGGAAAGGTGCCCGCCGGCATGACCGAGGCTTCTGGAAGCTGCTTAGAGTCTGCCAAGTGCAGAGCTGGGGCCATGTGGCTATTCTATGGGGGCGGCTGGGCGAGGGGCCTAGGCTGACTTTGCCCTTTGTGTGGGCAGAAAGCAACAGTGAGGCAGTGAAGGGCTGAATTCCTTCCCTGAATCCCCTGTCCAGTCTCTGGGAGGGGCTGACACAGGGCTGGCCTTGGGCAGCCCCATCCTGAAGCTGGAATACACAAGTCTACACTGAGACAGTGGCTTCCTCAGTGTGGACCTCAGTTTTCTCACCTGGAAAATGGGCTGATGCTTGCAAGTCTCTGGTAGAGGGAGGAACATGAAGGATTCGGTCAATACCAGCAGCTGTGCTCTGGGGTGCCTGTCATTAGGTTCACAGGCAGAGGCCCTGCAGCTATTTGCTGCAACTGGGGAAACTGAATCTGTGCCTCAGTTTCCCCTGCTGGGATGAACAATCACTGTTGTGCTGGGGCAGACTGAGGCTTCAGGATGGATTGGCCAGCCCTAGAGGAGCACCCAGACCTGGTCATGTAATAAACAGGTAACAGAAGAGTCACAGAAAGGGGCTGGGCTCATGTCTGTCATTTCAGCATTTTGGGAGGCTCAGGCTGGAGGACTGCTTGAGCTCAGGAGTTCAAGACCAGCCTGGGCAACATAGTGAGACCTCGTCTGTAACGAGGGCAGCCCTGAGCTGCTGGCCACACTCCAGTCTGAGCCCTCTTCTTCCTAGGTCTGGAGGCCTCTCTTCTAAAGAACTGGGCCAGGTGCAGTGGCTGAGGTCTGTAATCCCAGCACTTTGTGAGGCCGTGAGGCTGAGGTGGGCAGATCACCTAGGTCAGGAGTTCAAGACCAGTCTGGCCAAACATGGTGAAACCCCATCTCTAAAAAAAAAGGAAGGAAAGAAGAAATGAAGGAAGGAAGGAAGGCAGGACTTGGGATGTCCTTGCAGGGTAGGCAGAGGCCACCACCCCAAGGTAGCTGACTAGGAAAGCAACTTTCCTTTGGGGCTGAGAAATGGTATGGGGGATTGAGCTTTCTGTCTTAAAGGGGAAACCAAGCGGGAGCTGGAACAGCTCATTCAGCACTAAGGAAGCTCAGGCTCTGGTCTCTGCCTGGTTAGATCTGAGGCAGCCTCTGGAGTGAGGCTGAACTGTCTCTCCTCTCCGGAGGCTGTCCCACCAGAGCAGCGACAGTCCAGCGGCTCTTCCCCAAAGCTGGGTGCCCAACTCCCAGTGACGGTCTTGGTACTGCTTCAGGTCTGTTTATGGCATGATTTGGTTACAGTTCAACTCTTACATGGATGTCTCCTGGCACCTAGAACAAGCCTGACCTGCAACCACTTTCTATAAGCACTTTCAGAAGCAGGAGATCCCTGGGTTCCAGCTTTCAATACAGTAGGCTTTGGAATCACGTGAGCCAGGGAGTGAGTCCCAGCCCTGCCACTTGCCAGCAGTGCCACCCTGAAGTCACCTTCCCTTCCCTGTGCTTCAGGTTCTCCATCCATAAAAGGGCATATGAATGTGTCACTTCTGAGGTTTACTGTAGGGATCTAATGAGTTCTTTTTTTTTTTTTTTTTTGAGATGGAGTCTTGCTCTGTCCCCCAGGCTGGAGTGCAGTGGTGCGATCTCGGCTCACTGCAACTCCACCTTCCTGGTTCAAGCGATTCTCCTGCCTCAGCCTCCCTAGTAGCTGGGATTACAGGCACATGCCACCATGCCCAGCTAATTTTTATATTCTTAGTAGAGACAGGGATTTCACCATGCTGGCCCGACTGGTCTCCAACTCCTGAACTCAGGCATTCCACCCACCTTGGCCTCCCAAAGTGCTGGATTACAGGTGTGAGCCACTGCACCTGGCTTTTTTTGTTGTTGTTGTTAAGACAGGGCCTCACTCTGTTGCCCAGGCTGTAGTGCAGTGCCTCGATCACAGCTCACTGCAGCCTCAGCTTTCTGGGTTCAAGCAATCCGTAATCCTCCCACCTTAGACTCTGGCTGGGACTACAGGCGCACACTGCTAACACCTGGCTAATTTTTGTATTTTTTGTAGAGATGGCGAGTCACTATGTTGCCCAGGCTGGTATCCAACTGCTGGACTCAAGCGATCTGCCTGCCTCAGCCTCCCAAAGGGCGGGGATTACATGTGTGAGCCACTGCACATGGCCTCCAATGAGTTGTTATGTGAAGAGAAGGTGATTATAGGCGCTTAATAAATGCTTGCTATTATAAACACCATATTTATTTTTGATACGTGGTTTTGATCCTAAGGCAACTTCTTAGGATTTTCTTTTTCAAGGGTTAGAGGACTCCAACGACACCTGAAATCTCGAAGGCAGGAATGGGTCCAACCTGGCATGATACCCTCTAAATCTTTTTTTTTTTTTTTGAGTCAGAGTTTCGCTCTGTCAGTGCAATGGCGTGATCTGGGCTCACTGCAACCTCCGCCTTCCAGGTCCAAGCCCTTCTCTGCTTCAGCCTCCCTAGTAGCTGGGATTACAGGCACCTGATACCACACCCAGCTAAATTTTTTTTTTTTTGTATTTGTAGTAGAGACAGGGTTTCACCATCTTGGCCAGGCTGGTCTTGAACTCCTGACCTCGTGATCCACCTGCCTCTGCCTTCCAAAGTGCTGGGATTATAGGCATAAGCCACTGTGCCCCGCCAACATGATCTAAATCTTTTTTTTTTCCAGGTTCATAATGTATTGTACAAATTGTATTATCACATGATGAGTTGGGATTAGCTTCTCCAGGCATGGAACTTAACAGATGAGGTTAAGAACCGGAGATGGTTTAAAATCCATTTATGTTGCTTTCACAGCTGGAGTTTTTTTGGACCTTAACTTGAAATATAAGATAATCCAAGCAATGCCTCCATATGTGGCCAATACACAATTCCTTCTACCTCTGAGAGTATAAGAGTTGAAATATTTTTTAATACCAGTGAACTGAAATTGTTCATCAGCTTCTGGACCTGCCATGATCTCAATCTGCTAAAGCCACAAATTCCGCAGCCAGGGTCCTTCAACGACAGTATCCACCGCTCTGCCTGGCTGGAAGAAGCTGCCTTAGCTGGCCACCCATCCTCTAAATCTTTAGCTCCTGGACCCTCAGGTGCCCCCTCCAGCCACCTCCCTCTTCCTTCTCCTCATTCCCCAAACCGTAGCTGGTTGAGCCAACTTCCAGACATTTGCCTCTTGGGAAACTCCTATTCATCCCTCAAAGCCTCACCTTCAATGCTCTCCTCTCCAAGAAGCTCTCTTAGACCTTCTCCAGCCCTCTTCCCTCTTTCTGGCCCAGCCCGGACCCCTGGGAGTGTCTGTGTCCAGCTTTGACTCCCCCAGCCTGCGTGGCTCTTAAGGGCTGAGACCAGGGCTGATGCTTCCCTGGAATTTGTCATCTTTCAGCACAGGGTGCACACATGTGGGTCAGGCAAAGGGGAGTTTGATGACTCAACACTATGGATGATTTTGCATCCCTTGAAGGAGACCCTGCCTTAAATTTCAGAACTTGACTTCTGCCCACGGCCAAAGTTAATTCATTCAACAGACAACCCCCGTGAAGCAATGGAGCCAGGCTCCCTCAGGTCCCGGCAAGAAAGGGTCGGGGAGTTGCGGTCGCCAGCACTGGGTAGTGGATTTGAGGATCTAGGACCAGGGTGAGTGGGGGATGGGAGGAGGCGGTGCTTGAGGACCCTTTGAGCACCAAACCTGGACCCGAGGTTCAGTTCCCGCAGACCTAATTACCCTAATTTGCCACATGCACTAATTACCTCCTGGGTGCCAGGTGGCTGGGCGGGGCTGCCCCAATTTTTGGAGGTAGGTCAGGGCCCGATTATTTTTGGCTGCGGCGTCCTTGAAGACTCCACCATCAGCAGTGCTTGAAGGGCAGAAAGTGGGACGGAGAAATTGAGGCCACATCAGGGGTGGCGCTGCGGGAATTGGGGGCCAAGTGGCCTTGGAGGTCCCTGAACGGGGGGATTGGGCCCGAGAACTGACAGTCTTTGGCGCCTAGCTACTGGTGGCACAACCTGGAGGGGCATGGGGCGGTGGCTCACGCCTGTAATTCCAACACTTTGGGAAGTCAAGGCAGGCAGATCATGAGGTCAGGATTCAAGAGCAGCCTGGCCAATATAGTGAAACCCAAGCTCTACTAAAAATTTAAAAAATTAGCCGGGCATGGTGGTGCCCGCCTGTAGTCACAGCTCCTCGGGAGGCTGAGGCAGGAAAATTGCTTGAACCCGGGAGGCGGAGGTTGTAGTGAGCTGAGATCTCGTCATTGCACTCCAG